TCCTGATCTACGATCGGAAGAACACAGCACTTATCACGATTGATAGACATTGCCACTTGACCGACCAATCGTGCAGCAGACCGAGTGTCAGTTGCAGCCTGTCAGCATCTTCAAGCCTGGATACTTCCGTCCAACGTTTAAGATCATCAGCATAGATCAAGCAGTGGATTTGTAGCAACTCCTGGTGGTCATTGATAAGGATTTTGAATAGTTCGGGACCAAGAACGGAGCCTTGTGGAACCCCACTGTTCATAAAAACAGGACTAGGGTGAATATTCAACTCGATTCCAGCAGTTTCAGGATCGCTGTCATCATGACGAGCGTTTTTTGACCTACCAGCAAACGCTTCCATTGTCCCGTCGCTGAGCCACCTGGAAGAGGCATCGTTAGAAGCCTGTTTTTGGTCTTTTCCCCGCAAACAATGGATAGCGTTAAACGAGGTATGAGAGACATGTGGTTGGCAATGTTCCCCCTTTACTTGTGCACACTCATTTCAGCCTTTAACCACATGAAAGAAGCGTATGCAAACACATGAACATGCAGCGACCTTATTGCTATTCTTTCTTTTTCTAGTATGAACGCAAGCATCGATTATCACGTCGATGTAATGGGAGCTCTTCTCGCCTATTGGAACACCAACCGGGACGCTGGTTAAGCCAAAGCATATTTATTCCTGGATCCGCTGTCCTGAACGATCGAGGTTTCTAAAGTCTTGGAAGCTTACTCGTCTTTTGATCACTGGACGTTAACCAGCTACTCGCCGCCTGCGCGCCCTTAATCATTTGCAAAAGGCGCCTTTACTTTGACTTCTTGTGAGTTTATCATTTCGGTGGAACTTGTCTGCTTGCCGTCGATTTCTTGGTTGTTGTGCCTCTGTTGTTTCGCAAAGAACCTGTCGTCACATGCTTGGAGTTCAAGTTAACTTTGTTTAACCCGTTGCGATTTAGTGAGTCCATTTCAGTACATACGTAGACACTTGGTATTTCCGACTGGTCCTTTCCTCCATTGCATACCTGGTCACCGTAAACCGGTTCACAACTGTTGCTTATTTCTTGCATTTATTTGCTTTTCTAACTCTTCTGTCGAGATGGTTGTGAGTGCAATCCTAACTCTTCGTGTTCTTCCGACGACTGGTTGGTTATATATGGCAAAGCTGAATATCTCAAAGCGGTTACAGACTTGACCGGAGGCATGCAAGGCGGTATTTGTTGCCATTGGTTCCTAGTGAACTGTACTGGTTTGCATCTGATGCAGTATAAACTTATGGCTAGTGGCGAGAGCATACCGCACAGTCGTTGCCTGCTGTGTACGTAGCACTGAGACTTATACGCCAGTAACTAAAAGTCCGAGGTCGCCGGAAAGCCAGTTGTCTGCTGTGTTCGCTGGACGAGAAATTTGGTTGCTTTGTTAAGTTTCTGGACTGCTTAGGTCTCCGTCAGGAGGCAGTGGAAGATACAATTTCCGGAGCCGGCATCTGTTTGCTCACAGTCTACTGTCAGTACACAATTTAGTGGCAAAACTGTTGGCAACGAACCCTCAGATACGGTGTTTGATTCGTCTGTTAGCAAGGGAGACAAGCTGGCTTCTGCCCTTGTCAAAGTATAGGGGTAGAAGTTTAAAAAGTGGCAAAACCCAAGGCGGATGTACCATGTCCGTCGGGTGCCGTATTCCTATTCCCCTCCATTTCTACTTCAGCTGTGTCATCCAAGGTTGATTCGTTTACGACGTTGCAGTCTGAATAATTCGGACGCTAAAGCTAACCCGCCAACGTCAACAAAGCGTTTGATAAGCATTCCAACTTTCTCAATCTCGTATACTAATCGCAGTGTTAATTTCACTCATGCTGCTCTTCTTAAGAAGCATATGCTAGATGAGCTTCACTTCTTTAAAGTATGCCTTAACAAACGTTACTGCTGGGCTTTTCCGGCGTCACTGTGCTAAATGCGTTAGACTCCGTAGCTTGTCGACTGAGAAGGACATTGCGCTTTGCTTGAAATACAAAAAAGTGGCTAGCCCAGGAAAACTCCGACACGAGCTCACCCTGTGCTGCTGCCAAAATGCACGCTTGGGAGGGGTCTCTTCCCCCGCCGCACTTCACTCCGCGCCGAAACGACCCTTATTCCACTAAGAAAAGGACTGTCGTCCAACGAAGAAGTCACACTCGTCCCGCGAAGAAACCACACATGTTCCGCGGAGAAACGGCCAGCGTTCGCGTCAGAGTCCTCGTTGAATGCGCCGAGCCTCGAAAACCTTGCTCGTGTGGGCCAGTCCATCGAAGGGGAGGGTTGAGGCGACTACAGACGAGAAAACAGAAAAACACGCGCAGAAAAGGTCAGAAAGAACGAACGAAGGATCTGCGTGTTTAGATTTTAGATTTTTGATTATTTTTAGTAGATATTTTTCAAAAGTTTTCGAAGATAGTTGTTTTCAAAATGACATTCGACCAAACACGGGCAAATATAGACAATATCTACAAACGTAAACGTATTTACACTGTACATAGTCGGAAAAGCGAACTGGCTTACGCACCTCCCTACCACGGCGAATGGTCGTGGGAGGCGGTGGGCTAGATTCGGGAGATGCCGGGAAGGCTGATGCTTGTAGACTGAGGTCGTGGGCTAGTTGAACTGGAATAGGATGCTGAAAGCTGCTGCGGTGAGTTTTGACGTCGCATGAAGCACTGCTAGACGAAGTAGGCGAAGAGGTTTCTTCCGTAAAAGCAGGCTTTAGACGGTCGATAGTGACGAATTCGCGTCGGCCACCGCGGTCAATTGTGTCAATTGTGCTCCAGTGGCTGCTGTGGACGGCCCCGGTAGAGCGGGTGGAGGTAGCTCACGCACCTGGTGCGCATCTGGTGTAACTTCCGTATTCAAAAGAGGAAGTACACGGGGCTGCTGCTACCAGCTGCCAAGGCAAACGCGGCGTGCAGCCGTAAACTAGCTGCGCTGGGTTAGCGTCGAAATCGGTTTTAACAATGTTTCTTAAGCCTAGGAGGATGAGAGGAAGTGCTGCAGACCATGAAGGATCTGCATGTGCACGTAGCGCGGCCTTAAATTGATGATTAAAACGCTCCACCACGCCGTTAGCGGCAGGATAATACGCCGTCGTCTGCACGTGGCGACAGCGTAATTCCTTAAGAAACGTTGCAAAAGTCGACGAGAAAGGTGACCATCGAACGGTGGTCACGATGGCGGGACAGCCGTATTGAGCTACCCAGCGCTTAAGAATAGCTTTCGCTACCGTTTCCGAGGAGCAATTTGGGATCGGGACGGCCTCAGGCCATCCAGTAAATCGATCGATGCAGGTCAGTAGATATACAGAGCCTTTGGAAGGCGGCAGAGGACCTACGAGGTCGACGTGAACGTGATGAAAACGTGCGTCTGGCGTCGGAAAGCTGCCCAATGGGCTTCTCGTGTGCTTGTGCACCTTAGCGCGTTGACACGAAAGGCAAGTAGCTGCCCAGGTACAGACGTCCCGATTAACACTGCGCCAAACGAATCGTGCGGTTGCAAGTTTAACCGATTCACGTACGCCTGGATAAGACAAGCCGTGAGGTAGTGAACATCGGAGAGCTTCGGGATTAAACTGAGGAACTGCCTCCGGCTGGGATGGGACGAATTAACCAACAAGTACTTTCCTGGACCATGGCCTCACTTCCACTCTAACTATTTGCACCCAACTACCGATGTCCAGTGAGGGTAGCTGGACACGAATTCTTCGCTCCCCGGCAAATATACATGATCAGAGAAGACTTCATGTGGTTCTGCGAAGGATCAGCACATCATATCCAATAAGAATGTTTAGTATCCGACCTACCAATGGACAGGACCCAGGAACGCAATAGGCAACCAGTTATTGCATCAACCAGCGGAAAATAATGGGACGCAACCTGACTGCGAATAACCGAGCAAACATGCGTTCAGCAAGAAACATAGCCAGTTACAATTTGCCATTCAATGGATTGGTGGCAGTGTTCCAGGACGTGGTGGGTTTTTGCCTGGCAAGCGTTCTCCCTACAAAAAGCCACAAATGTCCGTTTAACAACACTGCAACGTGGCGTATGTGACTTGCCACCGAATAAAGTCACAGCCCATAACTTTACACTGGCAGGTCAACTAGCGTCACAATTCTACATAGGATCGTTACACTGGGACTTCTACATCTGTATATACTGTTGTCGTTTTACATCCTACGACACGTTGCCCTTTTCCTTCCTTGTGTGCGGGCTCTTCCATTACCTTTCAATAGATCATTCAGGATTCTCAATCTCTTATTAGCTGAGGTCCCGTATCTCACGACAACCAACTTATTGTTTCGCATTTTCAACATTGTACAGTTCCAATCATGGATATATGAACAATTTTCTACGTTACTGTTACAATTGCATTAAAATGTTTGTACCGTTGTACATATCTGATCATGCCCCCACGAGCGTGCCTCGCATATTCGAGAATAAAATATTTATTTATTTATTTACTTAACACGGTTTGGTGCAGCACGCGTGGGACGACTTGGCTCGGTGTGCCCAGAGAAAAATCGCAGAGTATAGTTCCGTCGGATGATGTCAGCGGAACGGGTCGGATGTCCAATGTTGGAGACCTGCGTAGTAGATCAACCTCAGGATTGTTGAGTTGTGCTGTGGCCATGGCTGCCAAGTCGATAACAGTGCCGACTTCAGCGGAGATAGCTTGGATAGGAGATAGTGCATGGGCAACTCGGTTGTGCACACCTGAGAGATGCCGTATATCGGTCGTAAACTGAAGGAGATAGTCAAGGTGGCTCGACTCTCTAGGAGAGTATCGGTCGGTAGTCGAGCCGAGCACGTAAGTCAGGGGTTTGTGGTCGGTAAAGACGGCAAAGAAGCGGCCTACTAAGACGGGTTGAAAGTGACGTATCGCTAGAAATATGGCCAGTAGATCTCTACCGCAAGTGCGGTAGCAAGATTCGATAGGTTGTAGGCGTTTGGAGAAAAACGCTAAGGGCTGCCACGTGTCGGCTACTCATTGCTGCAAAACAGCGCCGACCGCCACGTCCGAAGCGTCAGCACTGAGGGGCAGTGGGGCTGCCGGATCGCGATGCAGTATAGAACCTATTTTGGCGATAGCCTCTTTAAGCGACTTAAAAGCAGCACGTGCTGCATCAGGAAATTCTAATTTCTTGAGTTTCCCTCGGAAAAGTTCCGTGAGGGTTGCATCAGGGAAGCATGGCTTGCAGCATTCGGTTTCGGATTTGGCTGTCACTGTGTCCAGCCGCAGAACGCCTGCGCCTACAGAGGGACCATGGATTGCTTGCGCTGCACCACCCACAGCTCCAAACACACACCCCATATCCAGTGTAAACCCGAAGGAATAAAACCTGGAGGCATGTGGATGGGAGCCACGTTTCATCAACGGAGCCGGCCCGCACTCCTTCACAGACAATCACAAGTGCACTGTATTTGGGAATCAAGCGCACACAAGGCGGTGGCTGGACCGTAGTCCGCTCTACACTGAGTGCACGGAACCACATTTCGAGTCTAGCACTACCACAAGGACCGTGCACCCCGTCCCCTACAGCAACGACCAACTGTCTCCTGGAGACAGTATGGACGAGATAGTGGGTGCTAGACAGGTGGGCACCTTGTCAACATGTACATCAAACGCAGCCACACCTTGGATGTCAACCAGCAGCCAAATATGCGAAATGCCGAAATCAAATAAAGAATAACGAATAAAGTAAACGTATATGACGACCCAAATACTCGCTAAATGAGCATATAAAAATGGTAATAAGCGAATCCACGATAAGTACAAAATGTCCGATAAGTTATGTACAAAGAAACACGTGATAAAGTTGTGTAAGATTACCAAAATTAGCATGAGCGACGTGTGCAAGTTAGGTGAAGATTATCAGGTACGCAGAACAAACCAAATAAAGTGGAATGGATTTTATCCACATTAAAACGGCATAGCTTAAGTGTAAGTTGATTTAGCCAAACCGCGGTGAGGAAGCATCATGAATACAACATCAGACTCCGCATGGGTCACATAGTTTGGTTAGAACCGTCGGTAAAAATTGACAAGCACATCAAAACGCCTAAGCAGCTAGAAAGAAGGTGGCTCGGGACAATCGATGATGGTTTGAATTTATCCTGCAATGGCACGACGCCTGCAGAGGCGATACGGTGGCCGAGAAAGTTGACTGAGTCGACAATAAACGAACACTTTTCTGCGTTGATCGTCATCCGTGGTTGAGATAAACGAGCAAAATGTGCTCTTCTCGTGAATAGCTCGCGATTAAATGGTCGTCGAGATAAGCGTAAGCGAAGCCTAAGCCGCGATAAACTTGGTCGATGAAGCGCTGAAAAGTTTGTACAGCAATCTTTAGACCGAACGGCATGCGCAGGAATTCGAACAAACAAAACGGTTGTCACGGCAGTTTTAGCTATGTTCGCTCCGGCTACCGGAATTTGGTTGTAGGCGCGTACCAAGTCGATTTTGCTGAAGACATTTTTACCCGCCAGACTGGCGGTGAGATCCCCTATGTGTGATATTGGATGGCGATCCGGCGTGGTAACCGTACTCACGGTTCGCCAGTCACCGCAAGGACTCCAGTCCCCAATGACCTACTTCGGGACCATGTGGAACGGTGCCGCCCATGGGCTGCTGGACGGTCTGACGATACCGAGCTGAAGCATGTGGTCGAGGTCAGCTCGTGCAGCACGTAGTCTGTCAGGAGCAAGACGTCTTGGTTGTGCGCTTACTGGTTGACTGCGCGTGACTATGTGGTGAGCGACATCTCTCATGACTGGTGGATGCTCTGCAGCCGGTCGAACCCGTCGCGGGTATCCGGAGCGGAGGCTCAAGTAGTCGGACGTTGCGCCTGCGATCCGAAAAACAGGGCTGAGTATCGGGACGTCTGAAAGGAACCCATCAACCCCTAGTTTTGTACGCTCGTCTAAAAGTCTGTGGCGACCAGCATCAGCAAGCAACCCAAACTGTCGGAGGAAGTCGATACCGATAATTGCGAAGGGTACAGACGCAACCATGAAGACCCACTGAAAATCTCGGAGAAGTTTGAAGTCCAGGTTCATCATGCGCTGACAGAATGAAACCGTCGGGAAACCGTTGGCCGCACGCAGGTTGTACGTAGGCTTTGTGTGCTAGCGTTCGTGTTCGCATGGATGACGCTGACTCCCGCTCCTGTGTTGATGAGGAACGTGTTGGAAAAACGTCGATCCTTAAGGTAAAACAAGCGATTTGTTTGGTCATTGATGGATACGTTGGTCATGCTGGTATGCGGGCTATTCGCTTTCCCTGAAGCGGCTGAGTCGTGCCTAATGCAGAATGCCCGACAACGTCTAGCTCTTACACCACATTGGCAGTGACACAAACATAATTCTTTCAAGAGTTTGGTATTATTTGACTGAGGACATGCAGGGAACATGCTGCACTTTCGTAGCGAACGAGACATACTAGGTGCAGGCAGACGAGCCGCAATGAATGGTAACCAGAATGTGGTCAGCAGCTGACCGTGCCGCACGCTGCTTCGAAGCCCTTATTGCTGCTATCCTGCTGCGAAGTAGCGCAATTTTCTCGTGTTTAGGTTCCGATCGGCGTGAAGACTTGGAGCAAAAATAAAACTCGGCTTTCCTTAAGGAGAATACGTCACTGAAGCTACTGGTCTTCTGTAGCAGAAGACGTTCGAAAGCAGCGCCTTCCTTGGAGAATAGTACTTTCAGGGGTGTATTTATAAACATGGACAGCATTACCGGCAATGGCTCTGGGAGACGTGCAGAGCACAGTTCATTTATCCCTTCTTTGCTCAAGAATAAGGGACCAGCGATGGGCTGAAGTTTGCGGAGCAACGCCGACGGCTTGCGACCTCCCAGCTTGCGACCACTGAGCCGTTTAACTCAAGCTCGTGGTCTAAGATGTATCCTTCAAAATCGCTTGCTTCATGGTTTCCTACCCTGCCTCATTCGATGGACAGAGTCGAATGTCTTCAACCAGGGTCACAACCGACGAAGAAAGGCGTGGGGCGAGTAGATTGTGTCTCTGACGGGACCGTCGAGTCAGTCAATCGCGGGATTTCGAACACGGGCTGTTGCTCATCAGGACAACTGGTTTCTGGATTCTCTAAATGTATGGATTTCAATGGGGTAATTTGTTGCGAAAGGTGTTTATAAGAAACAGGGTGCACGAGTTGGGTCTACTTGTAGACTAACCTCGTCCCGAGATGTTTGCTGTCACGGAAACGTGGTTGTCTCCGGCTATCACGGACGGTGAGGAATGGTTACCTGACTACGCGCTGCTTAGGACTGATCGCTCCGTTGGTCGCCAAGGCAGAGGCGTTGTACCCTAGGTGAGATGTAACTTAGATGTGTTGAGGACCTGCACATTCCAGTCGTTGGATCAGACTGTTGAAGCACTATCGGCTGTTTTGTGCACTTCCTCTACCCAGGTTACAGTTATAGTGATATACAGAAGTGCTGGAAGTGCTTCTAGGGGATAATTGACTTTATGCGCACTCAGTCTTCGAATAAGTGTTTAGTCCTAGTGGATTTCAACTTCCCGGAAGTCTCTTGGGTCGATCTTTCTTGCAATTCGGCATCAGGAACATTCGATACAGACTTTCTTGAACTGACTCTCCAAGTGCCTTTGCACCTGTTCTCGGTCGTTCCCACTAGGTATATGGACAACCAAAATCCATCTACTTTAGCCTTGGTTTTCGCTAAGTCCATCGACTTGGTGACTGACGTTTCATGCGGTGTACCTCTAGGACCCAGCGGACACGCGTGCATATCATTTCGATGTGCTCTTTCAAGGCACAAAGAGACCGCTGTTGAATTATTTCCGAAGATTTGGCGGACGGACTTTAGTGTAATGCAAGCTTAGGCTTCAGTCCTGAACTGTGAGATCTCGTTGGGTGACTGTCCAGTTAGTGTTGGATAAATTTAAGGCATAAATGACGTAGGATTCTACTCCCTATATTCCACTCATGAGGAAAAGAGGGTTACGGGCACAACCTCCATGGATAGATACCACAGGCAAGTACCTATTCAAGAAACGGTCTAGATGCTGACGAACCTACCAAGCAGCTCCAGCAGCCAGTACCTGTGACAGTTATCGAGAAATTAGAAATAAATGTAAGCAACATCTCAGAACTGTTCGTCTCCAGGACGAGCAAGGGTTAGCGGACTCGACCGCAGCTAATCCCAAGAAGATTTGGGCTTACGTTAAAAGACGCAGCGGGGCAAAACTGTCTATACCAGCGTTACTGCGAGCAGGCGGGACCCGTGCGCGAACTGATTATGACAAGGCTTGTATACTTAGTGATCAGCATACTGGGGAGACCTCTTTACCACAGGTTGAGTTGGTTTCAAGCGTTCCAGAGGACCCTTGCTTAGCTGCGTTTAACATAACGGTGACTCAGGTCTTCGAGCAACTGCAAGGCAATAATCCCTCTAAAGCTTCCGGTCCTGATTCAATTTATCCGAAGCTGTCGCGTGAATTGGCCACCGAGCTGCGTGCTCCTCACACATGCATGGTTTCAATATCGCTGAACAGCTGCATCATACCTTCGGAATGGAAGGAAATAATCATCTGTCCGACTTTTATGGGCGGTGACAGCGCTCTACCCGCGAACTACTGGCCTGTCAGTTTGATAATCGTAGTAGTCAAGTTGTTTTAAATGCTGATATGTGATCCAATGGAGAACCCCTGAATAGATTAAACCACCTCAGTGTTGCGCAACATGGATTCCGTAAGGGATTTTCATGTCAGACTAATCTACTTGTAGCTCGTGAAAGCTGGGCCGAAGCGGTAGACAGTGATCCCGCTGTGGACGTGCTATTCGGGGACTTTTCAAAAGCTTTTGACACTGTTCCACATTTTCGGCTCTCACTAAAGTTAAGCTCTTACGGGATATCCGGTCGCGCCATTCTATGGTAGTCTGTCTTCCATGAGGGGAGAGAACCGTGTGTACAGGTAGGGCGTAGCATTTCGCTCGGGCAAGCTGTTCTTAGTGGCGTTTCGTAGGGCCCGGTATTGGAGCAATTGTTGTTCGCGATCTATGTAAATGACTCGCCGGGAGAGCTAGGGGTGTCATCACTAATGGTTGTTGACGACCTTAAGCTCTGGAATATTGTGGATATCCCGGGGACCTGAGGCAATTCCGCATGCCTTGGATAGGCTCTGGGAATAGTCTACCTTATGGTTGATGCCTATAAATAGGGCCAAGGGCTCTGTTCTCCGAATCGGAGCTGCTAATCCTCCCAACCGATATGTTGTCGGCGGTGGCGAACTCCCTGTTATCACCCTGAACAAGCATATTCTGTCGATGCTCTCCTTTAATACTTATACATATATCCAACGGCTTGTTGTCTCTTCTTCCGACTACTGTGACCCTATTGATCAGGGATAGGCAGACTTATCGACCTACTCCCGTAACCCGGAGAACACCGTTGGCTCTTCCACCTCTTTCGAATAGAGTATTTTCCTTTTGGCACTGCTGGCATTAATTTTTCAACTAGACGTAAATCTCTTCGGACCTGGCTCTAATCTATCCTCGGTTGACCAGTCTCATGTTTCTCACTGCTCCCTGACATCCAAGACGTTATCACTCGAGGCTCTACATTCCAAACACTGTTTCCCTCATCTCCAGACCTTTCCTTGGCATGCTAACTGGCTTTTCATATAGCCGCTGTCGTGCCTTTTCTTATGACACTCATCTCTGCTATCCACAAGTTAATTTGGCGGCCTAGCTTCGTCTTGCTGGCCTATCCGGACTCGTCTGAACGGTCTCCTGCTTTCAGACCAACCTCGGACTTCTGAGATTCTAATGACCTAGGCTCAGCGGACTTAACGTCCTGCAACCCTCAACTGAAATGCATTCTTGGCCCTGATTAATCCTTGATACTATGTCCCCTTTCTTCCTGTATGTGCCTATTCTGCCGATGCTTTCCGCTATCACTTAGACCTAAATGCTACGGTTTTCACTCTTTGAGCTGATTTTCTAATCTCGATGGTCTCTTTGCTTCTGACTATTGTGACCTGAATGACCAGGGATGGGCTGACTTATCAGTCTGCTTTACCGTCTCAGTGTTCTCTTTGCTTTTGACTGCTGTGACCCGATTGATCAGAGATAGGCAGAATTGTCTCCTGCTTTTTGACCTCTCTCGGGCTTCTGCGATCTAACTGTTCTAGTCACTGCCGACGCAACGCTTTGTTACCCTTACCTCAAGAACGTTGCTGGTCGTGACTAATCGTTGTCATCATGTCCCCTCTCATCCTTAACGTGTCCATTTCTGCCGATTGTTTTCGACAAAATTCATAGCTTACTATTACGCCTTTCTCCTTATAAGCCGACTTTCTAGTCTGGTCTGAACGATCCACCTTCCGACTTCTGTGACCCTAATGATCAGGGATCGGCAGATCCAATTGTCTGTTTATACCACGTCGAGAATATCGCTGACTTTTCCACTCATCAATGAAAACTTTTCCTTTTCTCATGTTGTTTGCATTTCCTTTTCCACTGGTCATACAACTCTCCGGATCTGGCACTACTCTAGCGGCGTCTGACCAGCATCCTGCTTTCTGACTACTTCCTTACATTCCAAATGTTAACTATCTAGGCTTTGTTGTCCTGGTGCTCTGTCTTCCTTACCCTGAGACCGTTCCTTGGCATGCAACCGCCTTTTCATATAGCCACTAGCTTCCCAAAGTGCTTTTCTGATGACACTCATTACTTTATTCCCACCTTACTTTGGAGGCCTAGCTTCAGCTTGCTGACTTACCCGGGTTTGGCTGTACGCTCCCCTGTCTTCTGATATCGCTCGGAGTTCTGTGATCTAATGATCTAGACTCTGCCGACGAAAGTCTGTTACCTTCACCGCAAGACCACCGCTGGTCATGATTGAACCTTATTATCGTCATCTTTTTCCTTAACATGTCCATTTCTGTTGATGCTCTCTGTCAGCACTTAGACTTTACTAATATGACTTTCACCCTACGAGCTGACATTCTTGGCTCGTCTCAACGATCTCGT